CAGAGTTTTAAAAGTGCATTTAGGGAAGCAATGCATTTAGGAGGAGTGCATTTAGAGAGGTTTCTCTGTTATATAGAATGGTCGTCGGCAATGTTTGCATTTGGACTGTGTCCAATAAACATTACATTTTGACACAGATATATTAACATATAAGGTTCTTTATTTCCAAATTTGTCCAAATAAAATTTTATATGTCCGAATTTACTCCATTGCAATATCATTGGTTATTGTTATTTCATACACTGATATGCAATGGTATTCGACACGACATTGCATTACCTCCAGAATTTTTAAATATATATACAACTTGAGCTTGATAAAGGCGTTAAATTATTTCATCGGTTAATTTGTTCTGTAATATTATCGCAATGAAATTAAGTTATATCATTTTAGTTCTTATTGTTATCTTAAATGTTTACTTGACGATTGCCTCGTCTATTGTCTTAAAGAAAAGGTAGTTAATATGATTTATTATTTTATAATAATTTTTTTTTAAATATATGGTATAACATTTATTTATTGCATTTTATTTTAAATCATTAGAGAGTATGTACTTTATTATTTTGTTATATACTAGAATATCATTCGATTATACTCAAATTGTTATTACGTTTTATTTTAAATTATTAGACCGTATGTACTTTATTGTTTTTGTGTACTAAAATATTATTCGATGATATTCAAATTATTACGCTTTATTTTAAATTATTAGAGAGTATGTACTTCATTGTTTTTATTATGCACTAGAATATTATTTGAATTTAAAAATAATATTGGTATAAAATCGTTTGATTGTATTAAGTTTTTTCTTTGTCCTGAATTGTTATTGATAACCAATATTGTTAAAACAGAAAGGTTAATGCTAAAACTTCGTCTATTGAACCACTTGTTTCTGATGAAGTTATTCCCGATGGTATGTAATATATGACCAATTTTTTATATTTACCTTATTATAACTTGCTGAATTTTATTGATATTGTTAAGTCGTGGATAAATTTAAACCTGAGGCTGTGCTTAATATAAAATACGGTAAAAAGAAAGTAGAATTTGGTAATGAATTTACAGTTGAAGGTAATAAAAAGATAGCGATACTGTTATGACGCTTTGTTAGTATTAGTTTGGTTAATTAAATTATGTAAATTGAATTATTGGTCTCTAACAGATACTCAACAAGCTCCCAATGTTAGTTTTGTACTTGATAAATCAGATTACGATAATAAATGTCAATATACGCTGGTTATGGTAACGATGTTGTTATGTAAAAAATTAGTAATAATAATAACCTGATCCGTTGGGAATTAGCGGAAACTTAGTTTCCGCTTAATTCACATACGGTCAGGGTATTATTAATTAATCCTCCTGCGATCTTGATATAGTGATCGGGGATTATTAATATACCGTATTTATTAATGTAAACATTCTTGTAGACTGATCCCGATGCACCAAGTCGTAAGAACCCAACTTTAAGAGAATCACTTCATTGGATCGTTGGAAACATTCCATGTAATTGTTCTAATGAATCTTAAATTTCTTACAGATTAATATGTTTAACTAAACATTATGATACTTAACAGCTAATGGAAAGTTGTCTAAAGCAACACAATTTGATGATTACATAGGACCAGCACCCCCCTCTCAAACTGGTTTTCATCGGTATGTTTTATAATTACGTAGCTTCGATTATTAATATACATTGGTAATCGTTTATGAATATTAATAAAACAATTCTAAATTTTCAAAGATATGTGTTTTTGTTATATCGTCAGCCAGTTCCACATATTGAATATCCGCAGTTAAACGACTCAGCAAGACTTGGTTTCAAAACACGCCAATTTGCTGAACAATACGGATTAAAACTAATCTCTGCCAACTATTTTAAATGCAAGAGAGATTAAATTCTTGATTGATAATTTTAATAATTTTTCTTTTTGCATTATATTATGTATTAATAAATTGTATTTTATTAAATTATAAATCATATTAAATTTATTTGTAAACCATTTAGTGGATATTGTAGAAATATAGTCAAGTTCAGATTGGTCCAATTAAGGTCGCTCTCAAGCACTTCAATCAATGGGTCAAAAAGTGTCGGAAAATAAATTTTATTTAGCGGAATATATTTAAAATTGATTAAGCGTGTTTATCATTACGATGAATACGAGTAATTTGATAAAATTTATTAA